CTCATTTTCTAAAAAAAGTCATCCAGTCAGCGATAAACAGTTTCCTTCACTGTGTTCCTACCTCACTTCTAATATCTTCCCTTTTTTCCTTTTTTTTTTTCTCTCTTTTTTTGCAGGAAGCACCATTTCATGAGATGGGGTCCTTCACTGGAGAGAGAGAGAGACAGAGACAGAGAGACAGAGAGAGAGACAGAGACAGAGAGAGACAGAGACAGAGAGAGAGAGAGAGAGAGAGAGAGAGAGAGAGAGAGAGAGAGAGAGGGCATTCATTTGCTTGTGCCTCCTGTGTGTGGATGCAATGTGGCCAGTCCCCTCACATTCCTGTTGCCATGCTATCTCTGCCATGATGCACTGCACCATCAAACTGTGAACCAGAAGAAACCTTCCCTTCCTTAAATTGCTTTTGTTGAGCATTTTGCCACAACAAGAAAACTAATCAGAAAAATGGAACCAGGAGTGGGGTCAGTGCTGTGATAAACCTGGCATATGGTTCTTGGCCTTTTGGAACTGGATTGTAAGAGGTATGAGGGAGAAATTGGAACTTTGAGTTGTAAAAGCCCTAGAATGCTACAGCAGGACTAAATCAGCCAGACTGGTAGGACCTCAGAAGACCAGAATGCCAAGAAAAATGCAAACACTGGTGGTTCAGCTTTGAGGTTTGAGAGGGAACAAGGACTTTATCAGGAAAGGGATGAGGGGCCATTGGTCTGTTAATCTAGCTGAATCCTTCCCACGTCCTGAAAATGTATCAGGATTAATTTAAAAAGTAATGCACTAATTAGTTTAGTGGGAGAAATCTCTAGGCAGGCTAGCATTCAGGCTGTGTGGCATGGTTACTGCTCACGGCTGTCATCCAGGTCTACAGTGAGAGAGCAACAACAAAGCAGAAATATGGGAAAATACGCAGATTGGTGAAGGAAAGATTGTAGGCACAGTTCAGGTTACAGACAGGGCAGTCTGGAAAGTAACTGTGATAGTTAAAGAGATTAGCATCATTAAAGAGAGAACGTTACACTGTAATTGGAACTTTCTTTGGGCTGCCAACCAGCTCCCAAATAAAGATACAGAGACTTATTATTAATTATGAATGTTTGGCTTTAGTTTAGGCTTGCCCACTAGCTCTTTTAACTTAATTTAACCTGTTTCTATTCATTTACATTTTGCCTTGGGTCTTTTTACCTTTCTTTCATTCTGCACATCCTACTTTCCTGCTTCCTCTATGTCTGGCTGTCTGGTCCCTGGCCTCTCGTTTTCTTTATTCTCCCAAGCCTAAATTCCTCCTCCTACTTACTCTCCCTACCCCTCTATACCTCCTCCCTCGATATTGTCCAGTCAGCTTTCTATTAGACAAATTAGGTGCCTTAGGCAGACAAGGTAAAACAGCAACACACCTTTATGTAATTAAACACATGCAACACACCTTTATATAGTTTAACAAACATTCTGCAACATTACGTGCTGCACTAGGACAGTGGAAAAGGTGTCGTGAGGGTAAGACTCCAACCTGTGAAAATGCAAATGTAGCTGAAGAGAAAGTGACTGCACTGACTGAGAAAGCAATGATGGTTCCCTGCTCACCCCAAGGGACTTGTTCCCCAAGGACTGCCACACAAAGGCCTGCAGGGCCCAGGCTCCATCCTAAGATAGCAGAGGAACGTAGCAGCATCTTGCAGGACTGGAAGATAGTAGACTGAAGAGGTCATAGAGTCTTGAACCAAGTTCCAGAGAGTCACTATGCAAGGCCATGTGTGGCAAGGTTGGAGTTCCTGCAACGAGGCCCCAAGAGGCTACTGCATGAAGCCATGAAGGTGAAGCCTGTTTTGATGGAGAGCCCAGAATGTTGGCAATGCAAGACCTTGGGATATCTGCTAAGGAAAGCTGCAAGTGTGGAGTTGAACTGGCCTGAAAGAGAGGCTGTGTGTGCTGCAGGTAGCAGAGCGGGGACGGGGATTATTTAAGTCTTTGGAGCCCACAGGATTCCAATATGAACTCCATTTTCTGGACATGAAGCTACAGGATTTTTTTGTTTGTCCCAATGTGCTTCAGTATTGCTTTTGTTTGACCTTCCTTCTGTCCCTCAATCCTTCCCTTTTAGGGTAGGAATGTTTACTTGTGTCATTGTCTTTTAGAAGTATGTAACTTGGTTTTGGACATTAAAGAGCTCAGAATGAATACATTGCCTCAGTCTCAGAAGAGACTTGGTACTTAGACTTTGCCATGTTAAAGCTCATCTGTTAAGGAAGGTGGGATATTTGAAGTTGGACTATTGCATTTTGCATAGTGAGATGCTTATGCACCTATGGAGACAGTGGGGTAGAGGTATAGTTTAAAGTGATACATTTGATTATCAAGGTGATAATGAGTAGACTTAAGATAATTGATTGTAAACTTGACAGAATCAAGAATCACCATGGAAACAAATCTGGCCACGACTATGAAGGCATGTCTAGATTAGGTTAATTGGAGTGGAAATGTGGGCAGCATCATTCCAGGGTTCTGGACTTCATTTTTATTTTTTTGAGACAGGGTTTCTTTATATAGCCATTTCTGTCCTTGAACTCACAGAGATCCGCCTGCATCTGTCTCCCAAGCACTGAGATTAAGGTGATAGATCATTATGCCCCACTCCTAGGTTTTATTAAAAGAAGAAAGTAAGCTGAGCTCAGGGCCAACATTAAAGCCAGCTTCACATTCCTCTCTTCAGACACAATGGAGCAGTTGCTGTTTAGTTGCCCTGGTGGATTGCACCCTCAGAATACCTACTATTCTTCCTTCCTCCCTCCCTCCCTCCCTCTGCCCCTCCCTTCTTCCCTCCCTCCCTCCCTCCCTCCCTCCCTTCCTTAAATTGCTTTTGTCAGATATTTTGCCCAGCAATGAGATAGGGATCCAAGCAGTGTCCTGGTCTCCTGCCCTTTTCTGAGACTCCAGCAGATCTGTTGGTATGATATGCGGCATGTTTTCTTCATTTTTCCCTTCAAAGAGTCAGCATTTCAGGATTAGTGAGGTGGCTCAGGGTAAGGGTGCTTGCAGCCAAACTTAACAATCTAAGTTCAAATCTCAGGACCCACATGATGGAAGAGAACTGACTCCCACAAGTTGTTCTCTGACTTCACACACACACATACACACACACACACACACAGTAATAAATAAAGTTTTTTAAATGTTTGTTTGCTTTGAGAGAGTCTTACTATGTAGCCCTGGCTAGCCTGGACCTCACTATGTAGACCAGGTTGGCCTCAAACTGATAGTCACCTGCCTCTGTCTCCCAAATTCTAGAATTAAAAGTGCATACCCTTCCCCATTTCATTTTTATTCTAGGCAGGTTTTCTCTGTATAACAGCCCTGGCTGTCCTGGAACTACCTCTGTAGGCCAGGCTGGCTTTAGACTCACAGAGATCTGTCTGCCTCTGCTTCCCAAGTACAGGGATCAAAGGTGTGAGCTCAATTTTTTTTAATCTGGTATGCGTGTACAATTATTCATCCAACCACTTTTTTTTTGAGACACTACTCTATGAAGACCAGGTCACAGAGATTCACTTACCTCTTCCTCTCAAGTGCTTGCAGTTCAACCACTTTTTAATGTATTATTTATTTTTACTTTTGAGGCAGGGTCACACTATGTAGTCCTGGTTGGAACTCACTATGTAGACCTGGCTGGCCTCAAACTCACATCAACCCTCTTGCTTCTGCCTCGTGAGAGCTGATATCACAGGCATGTACCACTGCCCTGGCTCTTCATTCCTTCTTGTATGTGAACATAAGCTTGGAAGGCTATGACTTCTTCACAAACTGCATTGGCTGCCTCGCATGGGACACTGTCATTTGAGAGCTTTCTCTGAGAGTGCTCCTCTCTGTGTTCCTGTGACACACTGTACACCAGCCCCTACCACTGTCACCATACTGTGAGGGTCTATAGTGTACATCTTATTAGTAAATTGTGCATTGTTTGAGCTCATTGAAAAGTTCCCATATTTCAGAGCCATATTTGTCTTAGAGTGTCCTCCAAGTTCTGGGGATGGGCTGTGCCCCACCAACTCTGTGACCTGGAGAGACACATACAGCAAAATAACCCCAAAGTAACAACTCTGAGCCCTTGAGAGGAGCTGGGAGGCAGACATTCCCAAGAGAACAGTTGGAAGGTGTCTGTGGTAGTTTGAATGTAATTGGCCCCCATAAGTTCCTAGAGAGTGGCACTATTGGGAGGTGTGGCTTTGTTGGAGTAGGTATGGCCTTGTTGGAGGAAGTATCACTGTGGGGTTGGGCTTTGAGGTCTCCTATGCTCAAGCCATGCCCAGTATTGCAGACCACTTCCTGTTGCCTGTGGGCCAAGATGTAAGAAACCTCAGTTCCTTCTCCAGACCATGTTTGCTTATATCCCACCATGATAAAAATGTACTGAACTGCTGAACTGTAAGCCACCCAATTAAATGTTTTCCTTTATAAGAGTTGTCATGGTTTCTCTTTACAGTAATGGAAACTCTAAGACAACAGCCATTCCAGAGAGAACAGCTGGAAGGTGGCCATTCCCAACAGAAGTTACTCTTTGTTATCCCACAATGCAAATGCCCTGTGGTGGGAAGGAGACTTGGAAGTCATGGACAGAAAGCTCCATCCTGAACTCCAAATGATGCCTCACTTCCCTAGTCGATGTCTACTGGATGATGTAAGAGTCCAATTTGATGACCTCCTCTATCTGTTGCTATTTGTCGTTTTAGTGGAAGCCTCACCTGAGGGGACACCTACTGTGCTGGGTCTGTCCATAGGGAACTCCAGCAGGCTGCCTTGATGGGGCTTCCCCAGTCAGCAGTGCCTGATTTGACGTTTGCCCCCACTTCTCCCTTGCTCTCTCTCTTAAGAAATTCATCAAAACAGAAACTATAGCTATCATAGACCATTCTCCAAACATAACAGTCCATTATAAGTCAATATGCAAATTGCAAACATCCAGATAATTTTTCTGATCATTGCACAAAAACTCATTAAAAGAAGCAGGAAAATTAACTTTTATATTTTATTTCAATGTGTCCAAAACCACCACCATTTTCCTACCATCCCATATAAAGCCATTTCTGATATGCCATTACAGTCTTCAGCACCCAGCCTTTAAGGTCACACTCACTGTCCAAAATTTGCACTGGTCACATTTTTAGTGGTCCATAGCTCCATGCACCTACACTCTGTTTCCAGAACTTTCTGTCCATTGTCTGTGACTCCCAGACCCAAGCCAGCTGTGGGTCAGTGCTGTGCTGAGCCCACATCACAGCTGTGAGACTCCTGGACTGGGCACGCTTGGTGACTGACTCCATTGTTCATCTGTTAGCCAGCTCAGGCCACCACAAGTGGGAGACTTAGGCTGCACACTGCATGCTGCATGACCTCACCTGCTGGAGGCCAGAAGTCCAACAGAGGAAGTGTCGCAGGGCTGGTTTCTCCTGAGGCCTCTCTTCTTGGCTTGCAGACAGCGTCTGACATAGGCTGTGCCCTAATGTCTCTCTTCTTTCTCTGAGGACACCAGTCTCTTGGGGTTAGGGACCATGTGACCTCATTTACCTTCATCACCTCCTTCAAGATCCTGCCTCCAAATTCAGGTGCTGAGCACACAAGGATGAGGATTCCAACACACAGATTCCGAGAAATGCTAAATGTCCAGTAACAAAAGCCCCCACAGACCCACTGCCATTTCCAACCACTCACTGTCACCTGTGTGGCCACTGCCTCTATCAGGGGCTGCCAGCCGTGAGCAGAGGGGGCACATCAGTCCCATCTGGGAACTTTTCACTGGGACTTCTTTTGTGGGGGGGGGGAGGCAGCTTTTGTTTTTGGTTTTCTTGTTTGCTTTTTCATTTTGAGACAAGGTCTTATATAGCCCTTGAACTTCTGATCTTCCTGCCTTTCTCTCACAAGCATGTGCAAGACACCCAGCTCACTGAGATAGTTTTGAGGAGCCCCAAGAAACCCAGGAAAGGTGCCTGCTTTTGATGTGCCTGCCATCAGATAAAGACAAAACCTGTGCCCAAGGGGGCCACAGAGACAGCCAAGTACTCAAACCAGTCCCCCAAAAGCCCATAACTGAAATGAGTGACCCAGGCCAGTGGCAGAGGCCATGAGGGACATGTGCTGATTGTCTTCTTCCAACTTCAGGCACAAAGGTAGTGGCTGCTTCACACTCATCCCAATGACTTCTCAGCCGTGATGGACTGATCTGGAACTGTGAGTGGAGTAGTTAAGTTGCTTTTGTCGTGAGTGATATGTATCACAGTAACAATGAGGAGGCTAAGACACTATGACAACATTTTGGATTGCGACATGCAAAATTCAGGGTTCCTGAGGGCACTGCTTTTCATCTCTATTGTGCAGTCTCTTTGTACATGGAAGTCATGTAAAGTCCCTGGAGTAGCCACAGCCTTCTTGCAGCCATGAAGTCCTAAATCTGTGCCAAAGAGGGCAAAACAGAAGTCGGTCCTTGCCAAATTGCAGCACTGCCACACTGCAGCCTCGAACGCTGAGCACACACATCTTGCTACACGGTCTGGCTCAAGGAGAAAACGGGATTACTGACTGCCATCACTGAACTGGGGAGACCCATAAGCCCGCCTCCTCACAGTGTTGGGTCCCTCACACTCAGGGGGATGCATGTATTTGCATGTATTAACATGTGTGGGAACTGTGAGCTCTCCTATCCAATGCCACCTGAGCTTCCCAGTGTGAGTTTTCAGGCCAACACAGTTCTGTGAGAACTGCATCACCATAGGTTCATTCTTGTGACAAACCAAGGTGGGGAACTAAGGACCCCACAGGTAAGGAGTTGTCTCAGGGCCAAGGAGAGATGGGCTTGAATTCCATCTCATAAAGCCATCTCTAGACACGTCCCTGAGGTCTGCTCTGGGAAACTGAGGCAGCTCTCTGCCTGCATCCAGTGACTGGTCAAGGCAGTAGATGTCCCCTTGGGAGTAAATGGTTATGGCTGTCCCCATGACCTGCCACATACAACCCTTGCTCACCCCAGCCTCTTATAAAGAATTAGTGGTAGGGAAAGACCAGACATTTCCTGGGGCATACACTGCCATAGGGTTCTAGAACCTGGTGATGATTGCTTTAACAGCCCATGTGGACAGACATCCTTCAGTGGGGACAGTCCTAACTAGTCCAAGCAGGTTCTGAACCTGTCTTTTCGTCCACCTTCTGGTTTTGCACAGAGGGTAGGACATAAGGCTTGCATACTTGCCTGACTGGTAAAGGGCTAGGGAGGTTAACCCAAGCTAGAGGACTCGTGGGGGCAGCCGCTGTGGAGACCGTGAGGTGGCGTGAAAGGTGTACTGCATGGCAGCATCTGTGGCACCCAATGGACAGGTGGGCCCACCCACAGAGGGAGGATGTAGTCACAGTACCAAGCCTCCAGGCTTGGTCTCCACTGGCCCCCTCACTCACTCTTCCTTGGGTTTGCCAGGGCGAGGCCTGGCCAGTCTGTAGTCCATATAGGTCCCCAGACAGGACCACAGGATGAAGCGCACCAGGAGGATGACAACCAAGAGGACCATGAGTGGGTCAGGGCCAGCAGCGTCCCCAAGCCAGGAGACCATGCTGAGACCGGAGGCCACCACACAGGGTGGAGCAGCAGCAACCGCTCTGGGGCCTTAGCTCAGTTCTGCCTGCCGGTGGCCCCTTCTGAGGGACAGGCCCGTGCAGTCCACAACCAGCCCTTCCCACCGCACAGGGCCTCCCTGCCTGTGAGGGGACAGTTGGGGCTACAGGCGGCCTCCTTGGTCAAGAGGCCCGTGCACCATTCATGGGGAGCTAAGCACTCCGTGCACCGACAATGGCAGTATTGTCCAGAGGCCCTGGCGGCGGGAGGCCTGCGGGAGCCCGCCTCCCGCGCTGTCCCCGCGGCCCCTGCCCGCCTGGCTGACGTAATCCCCAAACATCTCCGGCGGCGGCAGCTGCAGGGCGAAGCGGCCGCCTCCTCCGGGCCTTTCCGGCTGCCGCAGACAATCGGGCTCTTTCTCTCCCCAATTAGCTATCACTTCTGGAGGCCGGCGCGGTCCGAGGCTGGGCAGGCTGTGCAGCAGCAACAGCAGCAGCAGGCCCGCACCGAGCGGGGGCCACGAGGCTTGCAGGGAGGCCCGGCCCAGCAGGGAGGGCGGCAGGGAGACTGTGCTATTGAAAAGAAGAGAGAGGCACAGAGAGGGGGAACAGTCGGCTGGAGCCCAGAGGTGACCCCAGACATGGCTCAATTAGCACACAGGCTGTGCACAGAGTCCTCAAGGCCGCCCCAGCCTGTGGCAGCATGGGGGTGGTCAACATAGACCGCCCCAGAAAGGGTCTGGAACCTGAGAGGGAGGGGTAATCTCCCCGCCCGAGGGCAGCCACTGGAGGTGGACTGAACACTATCTACTCCAGCCCCAAAAGAGGTTTATGAGAAGGAACCCTTACAGCCCCCCACCCCCAGCTGCCCACACAAGACTGCTGCTGATTAGCCAGAGACTCACTGAGTGATGAAGATGCTTGCTCCCTTAGACCTCAGGCTCCTTGCTGGGAAATGAGGTCAGAGGCCCCTGATCTGAAAGACAAAGAGAGTGTATTTAAATGGACCGGGCACCTCCAAGCAGATGCCCTGGAAATGCACCTCCAGAATTTTCCAGAAAAACAGTACCTGCCCAGTTATACCTGTCTGCCATACACATGTGCTTATACATACATGTACACACACACACACACACACACACACACACACACACACACACACACACACACACCCTGTCCCCCTGACATGGTCTACTCTGGCCCCTCACAGCCAAGGTAGGTGGAGACCCTCCTTGGGTGAAAGACAGCTGGCTTGCTGTCTCCTACCTCTAATACCAGCCTGTGTCCCTCAATCAGGGCCTCAACTGCAGCTGGGGGCATTGTGGGAGGAATGTGGATGAGGGTGTTGGGCCACGGGGTACTGCACTTACAACCCAAGTGATCTCACCAAGAACCAATCCAACAAGCTGTGAGAGATACAAGGGGCCCTTCCACATTGAGAGTTTCTGTAGCCCATCACTGGTCACCTCTCACTGAACTCTTTCCTCTGTGGCAATATGAGTATTCACTCTGTACAGTCTTTCTAGAAGGTTCCAAGTAATGACAAACACAAAGGATTGGCAGGTCACCTAGCCTAGTACTCTCAGGACAACACTCTTGGAACAAGTTCTAGGTTTATTTTTCTCACTCCAAATGTAAATGAGGACCTAGAAATTTGGAGCCAGGACCAAGCAGAGATCACACCAAGATTCAAGTGTTTCTGCAATGCCCTGGAAGGTCCTGCTCACTTACTAAAGAAACCCAAGTGAATCTGGCGTGAGGATCCCCAGATGGACACCACCGTGCTCTTTGCAAGGTGGGAAGCCAAGGGCTCCACTCAGCCCGAGTTTCACTCACCTGAGAGGCCACATCTTCGTGTAAGGCTGGCTTTCTTGGAAGCCGGAGCTGTCTGCCCTGAGCATGGCCACCAAGCTCGGGACCCACCAGACTGGCGGAGCCAAGGTGGCCTTGAATAAAACTCTGTTTGTCAAGTACACCAACAGATAGGCAAAGTCAATATTGTCCCAAGGCACATGGCATCTAGACACAGGAGACTCTGGAGTCGAGGCCTGACCCTTCCTGCTCACACGCATCTGGGAATTGGCAAGCACAAGGTCTGAGTGTCCTTCAAGGGAGGATGTGTGTGGCCCTCCTCCCCTGGACAGCACCACGATGGTCCTAAGAAAGGAGGCTGGCGTGGGTGCTGGGCCTGAGGATGGAGGGGGCACAGGAGAAAACAAGAAATCCATGGAGACAGCACAGACACAGCTCCTCAGCCTGGAGGACACCAGGGTGCTCCCCACTGTGGAGAAAGAGACTCTACGAGTCACCCACACTGAAAGCAATGATGAGCATGGTCTGTGCTCTTCCTGGTCCTTTAAGCCCCCCTCCCCCAGCCTCATTACTGGAGTTAAAGAGAGCTGTCCCCTGAACAGACATTTATCAAACTTTGAACATACAATGACAACTAAAGCTACTAGAACATCCCCAAATTGAGAAAACGGGCCTCTACCCAAAGTCAATCCTCTTTTATGACTTCCCTCTTGCCTACCTTCCTGCTTCCTGGATTTCTTACCTTCCCCTTGGATCATCACATCCAGAACCACCTGCTATAGGACACAGCCCAAGGAAAATGACAAACCCAGAGACACAAGTAGTATCTGCTATGATATTCTGAATTCAGTCTTGTCCCTTGTTACAGAGGTCAGACTAGGAGACTCTGGTTATCTTCAAGTCTTGAAGGATGATCCATGGTGCCTTCCTACACCTAATGTTCAAGCACTGACATGACAAGGGACAGGTTTCTTGTTCACTGTTCCCTGGAGTTTGCCAGGTAAAAACCCAGGCTGGTGGGGAAGGGCTGGGGTGACAAGCTGGTGTGTGTGTGTGTGTGTGTGTGGGTGGGTGCCTGGTCCCCACTGGAGGCCTGTTGTCCCTACTGGTGACAGTGTTGGGAATGAGCACAAGGACCCACTCGAGCGGCTGCTCAGAGCCCTCAGCAAGCAGATCTGTGTCAGTGTGTAACTTCCCCACTCCTAAATTACACAGCCACCACTCCTGCAGCAAGCAATGCCAGCACTGGACATGCATCACAGAGGAGGCCCACCCAGACATCATTAACGTCCCACTGGACTGTCTGGGCTTGACCTGTGACTGAGGGCGTAGTCAAGGCCCACACGAGCATCTGATTGTTTAATATGGCTTTGGGGGAGGGTCGTGTGTGTGTGTGTGTGTGTGTGTGTGTGTGTGTGTGTGTGTGTGTGTGTGTGTGTGTCTAGGTCAGAAGTCAACCTTGGGTATTGTTTCTCAGACACCAGCCACTTTTTCATTTTTTTAAAGATTTATTTATTTATTATGTATACAGTGTTCTGTCAGCATGTATCCCGGCAGGTCAGAAGAGGGCACCAGACCTCATTACAGATGGTTGTGAGCCACCATGTGGTTGCTGGGAACTGAACTCAGGATCTCTGAAAGAGCAACCAGTGCTCTTAACCTCTGAGCCATCTCTCCAGCCCTTCATTTTTTTTTTCACCTGGAGCTCAAGTAAGCTGAGCTGGCAGTGAGTCTGGCGATCTGCTTGCCTCCCGTGCTGGGATCACGAGAGAATGTCACCACACTTGGCTTTTCCACCCAGGTTCTAGGGATGGAACTTGGGTTCTCACACTTGTGTGGCCAGCTCTTTACTAACCAGCCAAACTCTCCTCAGCCCAGCGTTACTTTTCCTTTTCCTCCTGGCACTCACAACCTCTGAACTATATGTTTCTTTTTTGTTTGTTTGTTTGCTTTTGTTTTTTGAGCAGGGTTTCTCTGTGTAGCTTTGGAGCCTGTCCTGGAACTTGCTCTGCAAACCAGGCTGGCCTTGAACTCACAGAGATTCACCTGCCTCTGCCTCCAAAATGCTGGGATTAAAGATGTGCACCACTGCTTCCCAGCTTGAACTATATGTTTCTATATCAGGAGCTCTCACTGGTCCCCTAGTGCCACATGGGCTGAGGTCTCTAGGACAAGTTAAAGGAAGTGTACATTTCATTAGACCAGATTCTACCAAAACTGTATAGTCTCTAGCTGTAACGGGGCTAAGAATAAGACTTCTTAGCCTTAGTAACAATTGTTGCTTGTATTATTGCATTTCTTCTTCTTCCTCTTCTTCTTTCTTCTTCTCCTTCTTCTTCTATTCTAGACAGGGTTTCTCTGTGTAGCCTGGCTTTCCTGGAACTCACTCTGTAGACCAGGCCTGTCTCGAACCCACAGAGATCACCTGCCTCTGCCTCCCAAGTGCTGGGACTAAAGGTGTGCGACACAATGCCCAGCACTTTTATTTCTTAACATTTATTTTTATACTATGTTCATGAGTGTTTTCCCTGCATGTATGTGTATGTGACATGTGTGGATAGTGTCCACAGAGGCCAGAAGAAGTTGTTGGTTCTTCTGAGACTGGAGTTACAGACAGTTGTGAAGCACCATGTGAGTACTGGGAAGTGAACCTGGGTCTCCTGCAAGAGCAAAGCTTTTAATGGTTGAGCCATCTACCCAGCCCCCAATCATTACTTTTACTTTTCACAAAAAGCAGACACTTGTGCTGCCAGAGAATGGGAGAGAGAGTCAATGGAAACCCTGGGGACACACTTGAAGAAAATCTGTGGTCAGCCTACTTCTTCCCTGAGAACCCCACTTCCCAAATCCCAGCCACAGTGGGGCCCGGTAGTGCATGTGCATGCCTATAAAACAAGGACTCAGGAGGCAGAGGCAGGTCGTAAGTTCAAGGCCAACGTGAGCTACAGCATCAAACAGGACCCAGTATCAAAAAACAAACGATATGACTGAATGGCTAAGGCCTCATAAGCAGGAAGTGCAGTGTGGGGTGGATGCGACAGTCTGCATGCAATTCCAACTCAGAAGGCAAACCACTAACCCTGTAGCAGCTTGACAGAAAGACCTGCCTGTTGAATAAGACAGAATAGGGACAGGAGATGATCCTTGACATAAATGTTAGGTTTACACACGCACGCACGCACGTGAAAGTGGAGGCAGGGACAGACATGGTAGCAGTGCACACTATAAAGGCAGCAGCAGGGGGGCTGAGGTAGGAGAATCAGGAGTTCAAGGCTGGAAACTAGTAAATTGGCAACCTGGGCTACATGAGACTGTCTTGAAAAAAAAGGAAAAAACCCGCAGCCCCTGAAATCAACAGAACGAGCTTTTCAAAGAGGATTGCCCCTCAATGCTTGAGACCCCCAGACAGGCGAAAATAAATCTTTCTTCCTGCACCACAAAGGCAGATTAACACCACCGCCGCTGGCGGGACAAGTGGGGAGGTGGAGGGCTGGGTCAGCGAGGGGCTTGTGTCCCAAGGAGGGGCAGCCCTCTGAAAAGGCCGCTGCAGGCCGAGCCTGAGGAGGCGTCTTGCAGCCAGTGAAAGCCAGTGTGTAACTCTGCCTGGTGATCAAACAGCCTGCAGGCCGCTGTTAGCCCAGAATGAAATTCCAAATAAATTAGCCATGTCCCAGAAGCCAGCACAACACCGGATTAGGGCGTGCAAAGGAGCGTAATTTATTCAGCTCCTCTTGTCAGAATTCCTAACGGCCTCCCTTGGTATTTCTCAACTGACAGTCCCAGGGTGGGAAGGGACAGTGAGCCACAGGTGGAACTCCACACCAGAGGTGCTAACGGGACAGTTGTACCTAAATGTAGAAGTCACGCTTTTTAGGGACATCCATAAGAGGAGGCAAACTGTTGGAAAGTCTAGGGTGGTTTTTCTCCTGCCATAGGATCAGGAACCAGGAGAAGTCCAACCACTCTTCAGGGTTAGGAGGGAGTGCCCCTGCTCCCCCTTCCCCCCCGTGTACTGCTGGAGGTGTCAGGTTTGGGGTGGCCACCTGCCTACACCTTGAGAGGCCCTAAGGAAGTGAGAAGGGGCCTATGGCCCCAGGCAAGTAGGTCCAGGCTGGGACTCATTAACACACTCAACCCTAAAACAATACCTGTTTTTATCAATGAACCCAGACCAGCTTTCACATGCATACAGGGAAGCTTTCGAAGAGGGGGCAGAGTGGCTTGTGCCCCCAGAGGAGGTGCCTTTGAAGGCTCGGGCCTCCTTGGTCCCCTCCCTCCCTCCCTCCTCCTCCTCCTCTGAAAGCTCCAGGCTTTTTCCCACCCTTCTAGCTCCTGTAGCCCCCACTCCTTCCCTCCTTCTTGTCCCCTTCCTCCTTCTTAGCTCTTCTGATGTGTACCTGCTTTGCCCAAAGGTCTCAGTGAGGGTGAAGGGCCCTTCCTATGTCCCCACAGGGGTTGCAGAGCAGGGGGGGGGTCATAATCATTCTGCAAAAGACAAAACCAAGAAGCCAAAAAGAAATTGACCACCATTGAGATGAATCATCAGGTTATTGTCGCTGAAAGACCTCGGCTATAAGGGTTTTAGAAACATTTAGATGAGGAGAGAGGGAGGGAGAGACTCTTGTCACTGCCTCGGCAGCATCCTCATCTCGGCTATACTAAGGGACTTCAGCGTCTGCATTGCCAGGGGTAGGTGACAGTGCTCACTTAGTAAGAACAGGAGGTCACTCTGACGATGGAAGATGAGCTAGAACCACACCGGGAAGCTGCTACACTGCCTCCGAGGCATGATCTCTGTGCCTCGGCTCTCTGCACTGGTACTGACTGACCCCAAAGCCACTCAGCCTGTTTCTGCTTAAGGATAAGGCCATCAGCCCAAGCTGTCATCCTGACTGTCTTATTCCAACTCCTGGGTCATACCGGAAAGGCCAGTAGCCTCTGGACAAGTCTCCTGCTCAGGTGCCCGGCCTGGCTCATCAGCTGAGGGCTAGGACTTCAGATTCGAGCTGTCTCACACCAGCCTGTATTCACACACACTTGCAAACACACCTGCATTCACACACATGTACACTTATGCACACACATGCAGAACAGGCAGACCTCACTCGCTCATATGACTTAGCTAGCCTGACTGACGCACATCCCCCTGGAGGTCAATACAGAAGGCTCAGAATGGGCACTGCCATCAAAATGAACATGCTAGTCCCATGTGCTTGCCTGAATGGAATACAAGCCTGAGTACCAGACTCCAAGAGAGCACCTGGACATGCTGTGTGTTAGGGCTAAGGTTCAGTGGATAAAAATGCTTGCTGTACAAAAACAAGGACCTGGAGTCCATCCCCAGCACCCATGTGAAAGCCAGGTACAGTGGCATGTAACTGCAACCTCAGGCTGGGCAGGTACAGACAGACAGGACAATTCCCAGGGTTCACTAGCCAACCAGTCTATCTGAGACAGTGAGCTCTAGACCAGTGAGAGACTCTGTCTCAAAAACTAAGGTGGAGCTGGTTGTGGTGGTGAACACCTTTCATCCCAGCACTTGGGAGGCAAAGGCAGGTGGATCTTTGTGAATTTGAGACTAACCTGGTCCACATAGTGAGTTCCAGGATAGCCAGGGCTGTACATGGTGAGACCCTATCTCAAATAAAACAAACAAACAAAATTAAAAAGAATAAGGTGAAGAGTGATTGAGAAAGACACCCCCGGCTGCCCCATGCGCACACGCAGCACGCATGCACATGAATGCACACATAAATACAGCACACACAGGTACACAGCACAAACAGGCACACAGCACACACTGCACACTCATGCACACAAACAGCACACACATGCACACATGTGCATACAAGCACACACATGTACACCCATGCCCTCACACATAGCACACACACATATGCATGTGTGCACACACAGGCACATATGCGAACACACACACTACATATGCACATATATGCCATATGTCACATTCTCAGTTCTCGGAACTCAGAGTCAGAAGTAGGAAAATGACCCCTGTGGTGGAGGTCTCTGGAGCATCTGAGGGCTGCACCTGCTGCATCCCCAAAGCTGGTAGGAGAAGTTGGAGGTGTCCTCAGCATGGG